CGACTGATCTGGACTCTACTGCAGCTCTGACACAGAGGAAACTCTAAATGTTGATAATTCTACTTCTGATGGACCAGAACCATAAAGTTATGAGTTTGCTGCTCACCCCAGAGAGCAGAGACCAGCCAGAGGGAGAAACCATCGGGCAAAGCAGAGAGACTGACGAGAAGCAGCGGAGGAGCAGCTGGTGAGTTACCCATGTTAGCTTAAACTCGTGTGCTAGCATCACGATATAGTACAGATTTCTATCATGTACCAGACAGTAAAAATAGTATCAGTCAGTTAATATAATATTAATACTAATGAGCGTCTGTCAGTGGTCTCATACTCTTTATTATCTGTTCACCTAACCTAGTTTAGCTTAGAGAGAGACGCCTGTCATCCGGTCCTGGAGCTCATGCAGACTTCTGTGAGCTGGATCCGACCCAGACACCAGCGAGCCAGTCCAGCTGGGAAAAAGCCTCTCCTGGTGCGGTGATCTGAGCTCCAGAAATCCACATTTAATTTTTTAAACCCCACCAGGTACACCAACATACAACATGGCAAGAGATTGTAGCGTTGTAGTTTTACGCTCTTTTATGAAAGAGGAACCATGCTACGTATTAATTCGGAATATTAATTTTTAATAAATCAATAACCAAATTTTATATTGTTCAGAAGACTCAAAGGTTGTTTTCATCGATAAACTGCCGATAATATCTGAGTGTCTGTGTTTCAGTTCAATGAGGAAACCAGTTTGAAGGATTAAAAGTTTTAATTCTTCAAATTAAACTAATGATTTTGAAAATTGACAAACAGGAAATAACAATCACATTGGCAACTTTGTGGGACAATCTTTAACAGTTGATATGCTGTTCTTGCTCAAATAGACCTTCTGGTGAATTTATGAAGATTGAGAATGTTGTGAGTTGTGAGAGTGATATGATGTGATTATGGATGCGTGTGGGTGCAAAGTTTGGTGAGATGAGGTGAGATGGATGCGTGTGTGCATCTGATTTTGCTTCAGGAAGAAACAGGTGTCTGAGTGAAAAGTGATGGTTTGAATAAACTTAGGTTTAGTTGGAAAAGATGCATCCAAACGCTAAACACCGTGCTGTCTCACCGAACTCTTGTGGACCCTCTTTCGGATCCGGGCCGTGGAGGATGTTGTGGTTCATCCAGATGACACCGGCGGCTGACAGGAGACGTAGGTGTCGAACGGAACCGGTCCAGAGTTGCCCTCGGTGCACGTTGATGGTAAAGCGTTTTGTCGACGCGCTTTCTTAAGTTAATTCACTCAGAAATCAAAAGACTCGGTAATGAGTCTGCGTTAGAAGTTGCGATTCAGCTATTCTGCCTGGCTTGGCAGAAACAGCGTGAGAGAAGGGGGGGGGATTGAGCCCATGGGCTCCGTTCCCCGTTAGCGGTTGTTCACACGTCCTCTCTCTTTCGTTGTCAAACATGAACTGCAGTCATCAGACTGAAACTTACCAAAAACCTTTCTCTTCTCAAAGCAAACATGTGCGTCATCAAATGTGTCTGGAGTTTACTGTGGGAAGATGTGTGTGGGTGTGTGTGAAGGTCAGTACCACACATTCTCAACATTATTTAAGAATGGATTCATTAAACCATTATAATTACCCCAAAGCATAAGAACCATTCATTTGATTAAAACACATTTATAATGAGCAAAATGATAATGGTTACTTTAACATTAAAATCAAGAAAAAGAAGTTTAAACTTTATGTTTTGACTTGGTCTGGGTACAACTCATGGAAACACATCTTCTGGTAGACCGCAGGTGGCTGATGTTATGGTTTCCTCCCAGACTCGCTGGCGTTCAGGTCTTAATCTGTGGGTGAAAGTTCTCAGCGACCCATCTTTGACCCAGCTGAGTCCAGCACCACCATTGTGCCAGAAAACCCATATTTCCTCACGTTACAAGATGTCAGCAAAATCATCAGCCCGTTATTAAGAAACAGAGATCAACACTGCAAAAACAGCAGAGAACTGGCAAAAGAACTAAAGGAGATTACAATAGAAGACAACGACATACTCATCTCACATGACATCACATCCCTGTTCACAAAAACACCAACCCAAAAAACCATAGACATAGTAGTTAACAGAATCAGACAAGACAAGACTTTACACAAAAGAACAAACCTCACAGCAGATGACATAGCACAACTGAAACACCACTTACTTCACATACGACAACACAATATACAAACAACTGGAAGGCTTCGCCATGGGTAACCCGTTATCAGCCACCTAGAACAAAAAGCCATAGCCACTGCCCCCCCCCCCCCCCCCCCCAAACTGCAAAATAAAACTATGGAAACGCTACGTAGACGACATACTGGAAATCATACCAAAAGGACAAACAGAAACACTAACACAACACTTAAACAACATTGACGACACAGGCAGCATAAAGTTCACTTATGAGTCAGAAACAGAAGGCAGCATAGCATTTATGGATATGAAAATCACCAGACAGACCGACGGGACCCTAAACATAAACACATACAGGAAACCAACACACACAGACCAATATCTATTATGGACATCAGAACACCCCACCATACACAACATGTCAGTAATCAGAACATTATATCACCGAGCAAACATAATAACAGAAGAAAGAGTGTAAACAAGAAGACAAACACATACAACACGCTTTAAAGACCTGCGGATACCCAACATGGGCAATAAACAAAGGAAAACAACAAACAACAACAGAAAGAAAAGAACAACTAAAGCAAAGAACCATAAACCCAGAAAGACAAGAACCAAAACCAGTGATAACCCTACCATACATCAGAGGCATAACAGAAAAAATAAGAGCAACAATGAAAAAAACACAACATAAACACACCAACAAAACCATACACAACAGTTAGAAACAGACTAGTGCACCCAAAAGACAAGATACCAGCTGGGCTTAAATGTGGAGTCGTTTACGAAATCCCATGTAAACTCTGCAATAAAACATACGTAGGAGAACCCGGACGCCAACTCAACACACGAACAATAGAACACAGAAAGGAGTGTGAGAAAGAAACAAGTGGAAAACACACAAGAGCAGCAAAAGAAGAAGCAGAAAGCACAATAAAGAAGTCAGCCGTAACAGATCACTGCACAAGAGAAAACCATATAATGAACTGGGACAACACACGGATCATAAACACCGAACAACAGAAATACAAAAGATGGATCAAGGAAGCAATCGAGATAAGGAGACGTGGATGTGGGACCATGAACAGAGACGATGGAGTTTACACGCTGGACCACGCATGGGACTGCATCGTCGGAGAGGGGAGAGCGGGCAGCAGAGGGCGACAACGTACATAAATATTTACACTTCAGGTATAGGATTATAAATTGACTTCTGATTCATAAATCGCCATAATTTATGTCCTTGTATTAATATTATTTTATTTTGTCCAATATGAATTTACAGATCAACTGCAGAACTGGAATCTTTCCATAACCACATCCTGATGTACACGAGCAAACGCTTCAGCGTCTCACCACCCGTGTACTCAGCTAGGACCATGTTGGCCGCACTAGATTACAACCATCGTGTTGACAGACCAGCAAAGAGAAAGGCTGATGGTGTATTACAGTATGTAGTTTTTAAGTTCCTCTCTTAATTTTATTTTGTATATTTTGTAACAAAAGCTGATGTGGATTTAGAGCAAGGACAGCTACTGATTTGCAGTTGCCATTATCATTTCCATTCCATCCAACCTGTTGTGTCCTTGTGTACGCAAATTAAATGACCTTGGCTACCATTTTTTTGGGAGGTCGAATGCCACAAATTGTCTATTACGGCTTCACTTGTGTAAGTTTGCAACAGGGCAGTTATGGCTAAAGCCGGGCGTACACGGTGCGACTTTTTCACTTTTTTGAGCCGATTTTCCAGTCGTGCGAGAATCCACGACATCGAGGCGAGTTTTGCGCCGAGCGTCGTGTAGCGTACAGGGGGTTACGAGAGGCGATTAACACCACGTGACCAGCTGCCGATCAGCAGTCGTGAGCTCGCACGGACTTCTGGCGTGTTTAATATTTTGCTCGTCCCTCGTGAGGGTATCACTCTGTTGAAGCGGCGCTGCGAGCAGCAGCGACCCAAAAAGTACCAGAACCGCTCACGGCGCATGCGCAATCCTGCATCAGCACCGCTCCCCGCTATTTCCCTAATAACACACGCTGTTCGTTTTTGTTTCTACACGTTTTTTTACTCACAAAGATTGACAAGAAAGCGTGTTTGTCGTGTTCATGTCAAATTAAACTGATCACAAAACACAGATTTACTTTCTTTATTTTGTTTTCCTCATCCAACCCCCATAAATCCCTGTGTGTCCTCCTGCAGCACTCCCGAAGGACAACAGGCAAAACAAGACAAAAAAGTCTGACGTGTTGAGTAAAAACTGCTATTTTTAGCATATTTTAGGGCCGACGTGTTGCCACCAGACGAACAGTGTGAGCAGTCAGGTCGCAACCGAGAACTGGGTCGTGCAGTGTGAGCGCCTGACTCGTGAGATCTGCCCTGCGAGGAAGTCGTACAGATTGAGCTGAAGCTGAGTGATACGAGTGAACAAGTCACACAGTGTCCGCCCGGCTTAACAGGTATCTTGTCGCCTCAAGTGTGTGAATGTGAGCGTGTACAAGTGTTTGACTCTGTGTCGCATCTGTTGAAGTTGAACATGTAAAAAGTTTACTTGTTCATTGGCCTTTTTCGTAGGAATAATTACATACTAATGTAAATTCTTAAAACGTTGTTATTTTAGGTATCGGAAGTTGTTCTACAAGAAATCCCATAAGTGGAGCTTGTACACACTAAAAGTGGACAAGGACTATCGCTACATCTCAGACATCCAGGCCGCTATCCAGCAGCGGAGACTGACTTCTGGAGCTGGACTACCAAGGCGAAGAACTCCGAGGTTTGATGATCCACGTAACCTTGGTGTTCTCTCTGGTGTTCCAGTTCCCACCACCCAGCAGTTGTTACAGGAACAAGTGGCATGGCCGACAGGTCTAAAAAAAATCTTACCCTCAGTGAGAATCTTTGATTATGATATGTGTATTTTGTATTTAATATTACAAATCAAGATGCTGTGCTCTATTTTATTCAAGATTATTATTATTTTTTTTGTTTACTGTGTATTTTTTGCTCCATCAACACTTATCACGGTTGGTTTACTCGTCGTTCATAACACTAAAATCTGGATTTTACTTGCCAACAACAAAATTCCTCACAATGTTAGCTTGGACACAATGAGTGACACTCCGCTGGTGTGGACAAATACAGACAGATGCATCTCCTCAGAGCTGTCGCTCACAATGCATTTGTGTTAATTGTTTTGTAGAAAAAGAACAAAAAAGAAAAACTGATGTTCTCTTTCTCTCTTTCTGTATGTTTCAGGATGCTCTCTCCCACCTCACTGAGACGATCAGCTTCTACGGGATCAACACACTGGAGTCTAGAGCAGCTGCTAGAGCTGGAAAAGCTCTTCAAACATCTCAGCTACACAGTGGCTTCTCACTGTTCGTTAACCTGATGTTTATAGCAGAAGCAACTAGGTCTCATGAGAAATGTAAAAGAATCTCCATTTTAGGTTGTAAATACAAATTTTAAATACTACGTAGAGTTGATTTTTGTTTAATTTTAATTTTGTTGGTCATATGGGTGTGTTAACATCGTTGTTTGGAAGAAAGAACCCAAGAGTTGATTTTTGAAAAATTAAAATATAAAATTTTTATAACAAAAATTAAAATATTCAGAAAAAAGATACAAGTTACAAAATACAAAAACATATATATACACAGTGATGGTCAAATTAAAAGAGAAGTATCTGCAACAGTCTTTTTGGTTTTTTGTGTAATGTTAGATTCTGCTTGGGATGAAACCATTTTATTTATTTATTTATTTATTTTCTTCTTCCGGCTCTTGGAGGGTGCAGACACTTTTTTCCTCCTCTCCTCCATATCTTATCCTCAAGGCCTTTGTCTGTGTGTGTGTGCTGGGTGCACGGCTGCTTCTGCGTTTTTCTGGAAACTGGAAACTGAAATTCACTTAAATGGACCTCGTCAGTTGGTCTCTCAACGCGGTTGATAAAATTTTTTCTACAATGAGAACGGGAGAAGGGGCTCCCGGATGCCCCTCCGGTACAGACCCAGTTGGACACATCACGGACTCCTGGAAACAGTTGAACCTGATTTGTTTATCTCAGCTGTCTGTGGAGGACTCTGAAGACGTGTGGCTGTTCGTGGTGTTGGTGTCAGGTTTCCTGCTCATTGGCCTTGGAGGCTACCTGGCTTACTGGAAAATTAACAAGCTGTCGAGGAATATTGGCCTGATCCCGGAGCTCAGAGATGGATTGCACCGCTCTGTGAATTCACACTCACATAATTGTTGAGATGAATCGTAAGCTTGGGACTTTGGCCGAGATTCATTCATTGGCACAAAGATGGATGACATCAAGATAGAGTGGACGAATCAGCACAGATTGGGATAGATTAATGTCCATTATTGGGATTTTGAGAGGCTGAGGACCAACAAACTGTAAGACAGAGAGGAAATTATCTCTGTCTGGCCCCAAAACAATTTCTAATCGGAATCTGGCTCCCTTGAGCCTGCAAGGCTCCAACGAAAACTCCCCCTCAGAAGATATGTGGAATGTGCTGTCGCTATGGCAACTCAACTCTGTCTCCTTTCCCAGCCTGGGGAGGACTGCGGGAAGGCCGCTGAAACGTTCCAGGGTCACTGCAACCCTCCAACCCTCAATGCTCCTCCCACTGTCCTTACTGAGGTGACATGTGCTGCTTATCGTGGCTGCAGGAACTGAAGTGGGGATAGTCCCAACCCACCACCCCACCTAGTGGACACTTATGTTGTGATGTCTGAAGTCTGTTGCATCTCTGTCTGAGGTGTTTTTTTTTTGCAGAGCAAAGCTGCCCTCCCGGTGGGAGGGTAACTCTGAAGTGCCTTTTTTTCCCTCCACCTGAACCAATCCTCATGTAACCCTCTGATCTCTATTAAGGTAGCGCGACTCAGGGTTGAGAATGATCTCTGAATTGTGTGTACTGAAACTCTAATTTCCCTCTGGGATTAATAAAGTATCTTTGATTTGATTGATTGATATCGCCCATGTGGGTCTGGGTATCTGTCTCTAATTCTCCAGACACGACAACTTGGTATTACTACCCCATTACCATGTCCCAATGCTCCACATTGCCAGATCACAAACTGACGGTATGCTGCATGTATGAACTCGCAATTAACTCTCACCGGGAACGGAAAGATCTTCTGCAGCACGGATGTCACTCCACATTCGTCTGGCAAGCCGGAGGGCCCCCTCCTGCAAAAGGTATGCTTCCATTTGAGGGAGGTTGGAAATGCAGGGTTGAGGTTGTTGCTGACATCATATTTTTTCAAAGTCTGTTGGCATTTCCCTGCAATTAGTGCATATACACCATGGTACATCTGATGCAGGAGGACCCACGGGTGGAGCATTTGATGTTTCATCCATAATGGCTAAAAGAAGACTTGGGTTTCGTGTTCAGCAACGCTCCAGCAACCTGTGTGATGACTCCAGGTTTAGGGATCTGATTCGTGCCTGTTGAAGTAATTGATAAAGAACATGACTTGGTTAATTATTTGATACATGCTCATGAATAGTGGTACAAACTGTGTGGACATATTTACTTTCCTAATGCAGAATGTCTAGAAAATTGTCAAGCTCTAAGCAAATAAATTTTAACTAGTTTATTAATTATCTTTAAAAATTACTAGAAAAAATTAAGAAGAGCTATAACATTACACCAAATACAACTATATTTTGGTATATGAATGCTTTTAATAATAATTGATGTGATGAAGTTTAATTTTGATCCAACCTGCGTAATTAAACAAATTATTTTTCACAAACGGGAAACTGTTCTGCACACCAGTACACATAAAGGAAAATAATTATAAATGAATATACTCTCTCTTCAGCAATGTAACTCCTCGACTCGACGTGCATCTTGGATAGACAGTCTTTCTCCAAGAAGTTCTCTCACACCTGATCTGGTTCTCCTCCCTCTGGACTGTTGCTGTGATTTTTGAAGAGCTTTTCCTGATAGTAAGCTAACTTTAGGCAAACCAGCAGCACAACAAATGTTTTCAATTAAGACTCACAAACCTGAGTCAACACCAGTCTCATCAAAGCTGGGGTTCTGTCGCCGTACTTTTGGTCTAAAAACGTCCTTATGTCCATCTTCACTCATGCGATTCAGGCAGAGACTGTGAGAAGCTGGCTGCTGAAGGGCTTCTTCTTCAGTGGTGGAGGCTCAGGCAGGCTGTATACAAACTATTGCCAGCTGCGCCCTCTCTGTTGGACTTTGGTACTGCATGTTACTTCTGCGATTTAGATCCGGGGCTTTTCATGAAACATCCAGGGCTTGAGCCCAAGTAGCCGGGCCTAACGCCGCCCCTGCAGCTGTGCGTCCTCCATGTTTGATAGATCACAAACCTGCTTGGTGTAAGTACATTTTTTTTACTGAACTCAAGTTCAGGGCTGCATGGTGGCACAGTGGTTAGCACTGTTGCCTCGCAGCACGAAGGTTGCAGGTTCGAAACTCGGCTGCGGCCTTTCTGCGTGGAGTTGCGTGTTCTCCCCATGCATGCGTGGGTTTCCTCCGGGTACTCCGGTTTCCCCCACAGATCACAACATGTCCTATAGGTTATAAATTGTAAGTCGCTTTGGATAAAAGCGTCTCCTAAATAAATAAACATAAACATAAGTACGGTTTTAGTTAGGATTCTACGCAATGTTTGATAAATAAGACCCCTGGGCCATACATGGCCCGCCATTGGGAAACTAGCTTGGGCCAGTGGGGGTCCCTCATTCATTTGGGAATGTCGGCCAGATGTAAGTGCCAGATGTGGACCACATCTGGCACAGACCAATTTTGCTGCCTGGGAAAATGCAGTCGAACTTTAGATTTTTTGGGCATTTCAACCTGTAACTCATTTAGTCTGCAGCAGGGTCAAAAGGGAGAGGCGGGGGCTGTGTGTGAGGAAACAAGCTCGTCTCCTCCGCGCGTCACGAGACGCTCAGAGGCGGGGCGCAGTGATGAAACAGTCACGGGAACATTTTATTGATAAAGCACCGAAATGTAGCACCAAATTTTTATTTTTATTTTTTCAGAAGCAGTACCTACCACATGCTTTCGGTCAGTACCAAAGAAGTACCGGGCTTCCGTACCAAAGAAGTACCCGGCTTCGGTACCAAAGAAGTGCTGGGCTTTAGTACCAAAGAAGTACCGGGCTTCCGTACCAAAGAAGTACCCGGCTTCGGTACCAAAGAAGTGCTGGGCTTTAGTACCAAAGAAGTGCCGGGCTTCGGTACCTATCCCTATGAGAGAGTTGGCAGCCCTGAAACAGCTTGATGAGCAACTCTCCCCACGTTTAAAAAATGCTAATATCACGTTTCTGCTACGCTAAATAACGATTTCTCAGTAGAACTACTAAAATGTTCGACTCGGGTGGAGAGTAGTTCTGCTCGGTGGAGGGGGCGGAGTTTGTAACTCCTTCTGCACATTTAAAGAGTCAGTACCCAAAAGCGGCTCATTCTTAGTCTCCTCAGAACAGGGGAAGATGAGGGTCTGTAGAGCAACAATACCACTGAGTTTAGACCCCAACTGAATGATTTTGATGTAAAAAGGGAGAACTTAAAAGAATG